GAATTAGATCCAAAATGGCTAATCCCCTAGTTCCCTTCTCTACTTTTTGGGAGACAAAGTTGTCTGCTAGGTTTGTCAGGAATCTGTTTGATCTTCCACTTGGTGCAGAGTTTGTCTCCCAGTTGATGTCAGGGTAATTAAAGTCCCCCATTACTATGGTGATGTGCTTCCTACATACCTTAGTTAGCTGACTAGCAAATGTTCATCTATTTCCTCTGTTTGGTTGGGTGGCCTATAGTATACACCTATGGCAATGTCATTTTTTCTCCCTTTTATATTGACCCAAATGCATTCAAGACAGTTTTCGTCATTGTTCGTCATGTCTTTATACAGGCAGTCCTCCACTTAAAACAGTTCATTTAGTGACCGTTCAAAGTTACAATGGCACTGAAAAAAGTGACATGATGATTTTTCACACTTATGACCACTGCAGCATCCCCATGGTCACATGATCAAAATTCAGATGCTTGGCAACTGGTTCGTATTTGTGACAGTTGCAGCGTCCCAGGGTCATGTGATCACTTTTTGCAACCTTCTGACAAACAAAGTCAATGGGGAATCCAGATTCACTTAACAACCATGTTACTAACTAAATAACTGCAGGCAAAACTCACTTAACAAATGTCTCGCTTAGCAACACAAATTTTGGGTTCAATTCTGGTTGTAGGTTGAGGATTGCATGTATTTTAAATTGCATTAATCATTTATGGTAAATGTTAAGGGCTTAATTAAATGTTCAGTGATGTACCTGGTGCCCCACTTAGATTGCTAGTGAAAGTCTTTTTAATGGGCATCTCATATGACCTCACAACCTTTATTTTTTTTGAGGTACTTTCCTCTTTGTTCTCTATCTTATGCCAGGGGTAGCCTTAATATGTCTATAGCAATTTGGGCATTGAAGTGTTGTTTTCCCTCTTTAAACCTTTTGCCATGGGTATAGCATATTATTGCAGGGTATGGTCAGAAAACTCTTAGAGCAATATTTCTCAGTCTTGACAAATGTGCTAGCAAGGGAATTCTGGGAGTTGAAGTCCACACATCTTAAAGTTGCCAGAATTGAGAACCATTGGGGATGTAACAGGCCCTGCCCCTCTTAAGTACTAGAGCAGGGGTCTTCAAACTTGGCCTTTTAATGACTTGTGGACTTCAACTCCCAGAATTCCTCAGCCAGCGATGCTGGCTGAAGAATTCTGGGACTTGAAGTCCACAAGTCATAAAAGGGCCAAGTTTGAAGACCCCTGTACTAGAGTGAGCATGCCTATGATCGTTTGATTCCCCGTTTGGCTTGGATAGAAAGTGACAATGTAATCCTGGTTTTGACAAATGGAAATCTTGGCTTATGGGTCACTGATGTTGCAGGTTTAAAATGAGGGCTGAGCACTCTTTGGAAGCTCTTTTAAAATGAGGGCTGAGCACTCTTTGGAAGGAAGCTATACCTATTATTAAAAGGTCCTGTGGGTTCTTAATTCTGTATGGTTCACTCAGACAGTGCTGGATACATTATGATTTCCTGCCATTTCAGGTGATGTGATGATCTCGTTCAATATATTAAAAACATCAAAGCTAAAAAAGAATCAGCAGTGGAATAGCATAAAGGTAGTTCTTGACTTACCACCACCCATCTAGTAACCATTTGAAGTTACAACAGCACTGAAAAAAATGACTTATGACCATTTTTTCACACTTATGACAGTTGCAGCATCCCCACGATCATGTAATCAAAATTTGGATGCGTGGCAACTGACTTGTATTTATGATGGTTGCAGTGTCCTGGGATCATGTGATCACCTTTTGCAACCTTTTGACAAGCAAAGCCAATGAGGAGGCCAGATTCACTTCACAACTGTGTTACTAACTTAGCAATTACAGGGATTCACTTAACAACTGTGGCGAGAAAAGTCGTAAAGTGGGGCAAAATTCACTTAAATGTTTTGCTTAGCTACAGAAATGTTTGGCACAACTGTGGTTGTAAGTCAAGGACGACCGTATTGTATCTCACAACTTTTCATGAAACCTTTCCAGCCATGATAAAAATAGACCAGCCTTCATCAAGCAACTTTTGGAAGAACAAGATGCTGCAATTACCTGTGGCTGGACGCTCCAGGTATTTTTTTTTTAACGTTGATTATTTTCATCCAGTCCAGTCTGCTGCAAAACTAGCTTGTGGGCAGATACAGCATTAGTTGTCTGTGTTTCTTTTTATATTCTATTCGCTTAAGGGAGTAGGTGGGCAAGATATAAATGACAAAACTAAATAAGTGGAAAATAGGTACCCTCTTTCAAAAGTATAAATAACCAGAAGATGTGAAAGATCTTATTAAAAAGGACTAATCCAGTTAAAAATAATGAATCACAATAATTAAGGTCTACTGAAACATAAACAGTCTGATGGAGCCCAAAGAGCACATTATTATTAGTAAGGAATATTTAAAGAAATATTATAGGATACAGAATAACAGAATAACATACTGTAGTTGGAAGGGACCTTGGAGGTCTTCTAGTCCAACCACTTGCTCAGTATTCTGGACCATATAGATCCATGTAACCTTGTATAGCTCTATGTAACCCTAACTGGAGAACACGTATCAGTATGTTAGTAATAGGTCAGTGGGAGGAGTTTCAAAAGGGCATTGGGAGACTTCCTGGACACAAGCCAGATTGGAAGGTCTTTGTCTGAAAGAAGCATGGCCCATCAGATGTCACCCGATGAGCCTGTTCTGCTATAAAGATGGTATGGAGAGAGAGCTTCATCTTTTTACCGATAGAAATGAACAAGAGATGTAATATCGGAGGCAATCGTCATGAAAGCAAGTAACCTATCTGATTAAATATATTTCTTGTTATGAAATCATTTCTTTGTGTTATCTATCTGACTGGATTTAAAAGAAGGCGTTTTTATCTCGGAGTCAGAATAGTAAAAAGATGCTCAAAGTTCATATCAACTTTATAAAGCAAACAGTAATTTGATGTGGTTAATTTTCCTCTGATCTGCAAATTTAAAGAACAGTAAACAAAGACTCTCTTGCATGTGAAAGTAACTGGATGTGACTGATTCCAAGGATTGCCTGTAACAGTTAAATCAGTATATCTGTTTGGCAGACAGCGTTTCAAAGAAGGTGTGATTCAGATGCTTTGATTTCTTTGCCGCTAACTTCAAACAGCTTGGGGCAATGAGAGAAATGTTTCAGAAGACTGTCTGTAGACCTATTTCCGTTCACAAAGGAACTGTTTAAAACTGCCTTCATTGTTCAGATAAAAGCTTGGAAAGGGTGATACCCCCCCTTGTTAGGCAGGCAAGTGACTCTTCACTGCTTTAATGATTGAAGCCTGTCTCCCATCCTGCCTAATGCAAAAAGGATTTGAAACTTAAGTGCTTAGATTAAACAAAGCAAAACAGATTTGCTTCTTCTTCATGAGTTTGCTAGCCGAGAGACGAGCAGAGGGGCCCCTTTCAGGGCAATAAAAGGCCATTAATCTCTCAACCAAAACTGCCTTCATTGTCAGCAAGCTAGCAACCAGGTTGCCAAGGAGGGCAATTAAGTAATTAACCTCTTCACACAGCCACAGCACTGGTGAAAGAAGCTAAACTCCCCCCTCCTTTTGGAATTTCAACTATGTCAATGGAAAGAAGGTATACAGAGGCTCCAATAGCAGTGCAGTAGCATCCCCTGGTGGCCAATCTGCACATGACACCTTGGTAAAATTTTCTTACATTACAACAACTTGATGATTAATTCAGCACATAGCAGGCTTATATCAAGCCAAGCTAAAAGCACCCCCTAGAGGGAAAAGAAGGAACTTCGCTGCACACACCTCTAACTATGCAGAGTGAATCTGATAGTTAAAGAGCAAGTTATCTAAATTTATACCAAGCTACCAACACCCCCTAAAGGGCACAGGGTGAACTTCAATAAAGCATTCACCCACTCAAGCTGAAGACCAAGTTCTTCCAGTTTGAGGGATTAAGGAGAAGGAAGCAGAGTCAATAACCCTTGCTTAATACCACAAGCTGACCACCAAGTGTTCCAGCCTGCAACTTAATGACCAGGTGGGAGTTTTTGTATCTCTACAGTCTCTCAGTGGCCATCAGCAGGAACGTGGTAATAGGAAGAATTTGGTTGGCCTTTCTTCAGACGCCCCCTAGTGGTTAAAGGAGAAGCTACACGCAAGCCTTTAATCATGCCCAGAGAAAGCCCTCTAGTGGACAAAGGGTGTACCTCAAAAGAAGAGCACCCCGGTAGCTGATACGCAGAAAGTGACCCCTAGTGGTGAACAGGTGAATTATGCTGAAGTACCCACAAGCACAGGAGAACGCACCCAGTGGCACCTCCACCCACAGACAGCACCTCTGAAGCTGATCTGCAAGTAGCGACCCCTAGTGGTCAAAGAGAGAAGTTCTTCAAATTTGCTTCAAAATAGCTAAGAAGCACAGGAGAACGCACCCAGTGGCACCTCCACCCACAGACAGCACCTCTGAAGCTGATCTGCAAGTAGCGACCCCTAGTGGTCAAAGAGAGAAGTTCTTCAAATTTGCTTCAAAATAGCTAGGAAGTGTACTGAACCTATCCTAGCCATGGCAGAGTGTCCCACTGATTTAGATGAAGGGGTTCAACCAACCAGCTTAGTTGAGACACCCCAACCAGCCGGCCAAGGAGAAATGCTGCAAACAGCCAACCTTGACCCGCACACAGGGGCTGAAGCTCAAGCCTCAGCAAGGCCAAAGACGTCTCAGAGTCACTATGATCTGAGACAACAAAGAAAGCCAACTGAAGCCATGCATGCACACCTGTTAGAGAAATGGGACGCCGTGTACAAGCACCATGAAAGATGCTGGGAGAGATGGCACAAACTTTACCAAGAGCAAAAGGAGGAACTCTCCCCTGAAAGTGCGCACGCAGTGGAAGGAGATAAGGAAGACGCCTTTGCACAATGGATGGACTCCGAACGGCAACTCAAGGTCATTCAGGAGCAATTAAGAGACTCAAGTGTCGATAGGGAGATGCAAAGCCTCAAGCTACTAAATAAGGAATGCAAGAAACTTCTAGAGAGCCCACAATGCCCTCCAGAGCGCGAGCCTCGCCTGAGGGACAGACTGGTCGACAGGGCCGAGTCTGAAGTTTCCCGCCATTCACACGCACCGTCCCAACAGTCGCACGTGGCTCCATCCCACACGTTGGGAAGGGCCTCATCCTTTCGCCACATATCCAAGGCACATTCCAGCGTGTCACAACAATCACGTCACAGGCGCCTCCCGCAATTCGGAAGCATCTTCTCGTCACAGCCGAGCATCCCGAATTTCACAAGCAGAGCAAGCAATCATTGATGCCAAAGCTGCCGAAGCAGTCTTTCGTGTGATTCAGGAGGAGCGGCAGAAAAAGAAGGAACTGGCGGCTATAGATCTCAAAGAGGCCGAAATAGAAGCCAAACTAGAAGCTGAGGCAGTCAAAATGAAGAATGAAGCAGCTCAATTGGAAGCTAAACGAAAAGCTATAGCAGCTAAAATGAAGGCCAAAAGAAAAGACGCTCAAGAAGAGCTTGAATTTGTTCAAAGCCAACGAGATATGGCAGACAAAATCGCTAGAGCGGAAGGCTTTCAGAAAACACTCCACAACACCTTCTTGTCCAATAGGGAACAACTGGAGAACGAAGAATGGCGTAGCCGAGTACAGGCCTATGTGGATAACCAAAGTGCGTTTCAACGTGAACAGGTGAGACCACAGCCAGCCACAAGCCCCCCGAGACTGAGTAGACGAACAGAAGAATCTCAACGGCCAGATGTGCCAGTCAGCCACAGGGTTGATGTAGCGACAACTAGGCCACGAGATCTTCCCATCGTTGCTGCCCCATTGAACCAACCCAACCATACCTTTGATGGCAACCGGATGGGTCCACCAGCAACGGCAATAGCTACATAGCGGGGAGCGCCACGAGACATTCCTATCGTTGCTGCCCCATTGAACCCGCCAAACCATACCTTTGATGGCAACCGGATGGGTCCACCAGCAATGGCAATAGCTACACAGCGGGGAGTGGAACAAGATCTTTCCACCATTGTTGCCCCACGGAACCCGCCGAACCACACCACTGATGGCAATTGGATGGGTCCACCTGCAGCACCACCGGCCCCACAGCAGAACCAGCTGCCACTCGGGGACGAGATTGAGAGGGCTCGAGCCACACTAGAGTCCCTGCTACGCCAACAGGAGGCAGCCTACTGGGGAACAACCCCCAGACCTAACCACAGAGGAGAACCTCAACCATCAGCTGTGCCAGCCTACCAGGGAGCCAGCTATGCTCCACCAGAAAGACGAGAGACCCTCCAACAAGTAAGTATGCAGGAATTTGGATTCCCTCAGCTCAACGCCAGAGCAGAGGAGTTCAGACCAAGTCAACAAGGTCCCTTGCATGTGACATGGCAAACCACCCTCAGCCAACAATATGCCGAAGGAGGTTACCAGCCAGACATGGCGCACGCCCCCGCTCCCAGGAACGATGCACCACCTCCACCAAGCTACAGCCCACACACGGAATCGATGCATTCCCCAATGTATGTTGGAAGAAGGTTGGACTTGGCAGCCAGAGGAGTACGAAGATTCTCCGACAAACCTGGGAAAGACTACTTATTGTGGAAGCACATCTTCAAGCGCGCCATCAACCAGGAAAGGGCTGGGCCAGATGAAGAACTTGTCCAGCTGACAGCCTGGCTAGGCCCAAAATCCATAATCACAGTGAACAACATCTTTGCAGCCCATCTGGGCGACCCTGACATCGGCCTCGTACAAACTTGGGACGCACTTGACAAGGACTACGGTGAACCCACAGTGACAGAGTCCTCGCTCCTGGACCACGTTCTCAGTTTCCCCAACATAAGAATCAACGAACATCAGCAGCTGAAGACATCCTCGTCGCTCCTTACTCAACTGGAGACAGTACAACATGATCCTACCTTGCCGGGATTAGCTTGCCTTGACATGTTCAGAACACAAGATCCTATCATCCAAAAACTACCACAGTTGATATCTGAAAAATGGATCGAGTTTTCTCGATTTTACAGAAAAAGCAACCAAAACAAAATTTCCCCCTTTGCGATGCTCGCTGAATTTATCAGGGACAGGGCTGACTTCTACAACGACCCCCTGTACCTCTCCATCAGAGAAGCTCAGTCCCCAACGACAAAGCAAACCAGTCAAAACTCTGATGTTGTCAAGCGCCCCATCCAAGCTACGAAGGACAGAACCACCTATTCAGTATACAAAACAGACGTCACGCCTCACCCAAAGAAGTCTCCAGACGAACGAACACCGAAAGGTGCTCATTCGAACCCTCGTCCAACTAAAAAAGGCTTGACTTGTCCAATTCACAAGACCTCACACTCTCTAAACGATTGCAGAGAATTTAGGAAAAAATCCCTAGATGACGGAAAGACTCTACTCAAAGAGAATAGGATATGTTTCAAATGCTGTGACTCCATGGAACACATGGCCAAAGATTGCACAGCTAGAGTGAAATGCCACCTATGTGACAGTAACAAGCACACAGCAGCCTTACATCTAGAAACTAAAAAACCCTCTGAGGAGACACAACAAGCGACTTCGACAACGGAAACTCAAACTGACTCCGAAGAGAAGCCAAAACAGTACAGGACGTACTACACAGATATATGTGACGACTCACCATGCCCTCCTTCATGCTCACCCGTCTGTCTTGCAAAAGTCTACCCCGATGGGCAACCTGAAAAGGCAGTAAAGATGTATGCCATACTAGACCCACACTGCAAAGTTACTATAGCAAAGCCTGCCTTTT